GCCTGAATACAATGGCCAACGTTCAGAAAAGGCAAAGTATTAACAGAGCAAAGTCTCAATTTTCTAGTTTAGACACTATGCTGTTTAATATGTTTGCTTGCGTTTCAGAAAAAGAGCTGAACCAGAAGACAAGTTGACACACATTTTAGTTTAAACTAAACTAAAGAAAACCCAAGAAACTTCACAGGTATTTTCTAAACTAGATGAACAGGTACTATCAGGGTGAAAAAATACAGTTTGACAAACAGCATGTCAAAATAAGTGACTTTCACTACTTTTGCCGACAGATAAATTCCAGATAAAAGGAACCTGCAAGAGAACAGAAACCTGCAGGAAACAGAACGGACAGCTCATGAAAACTTCTGCATGATGGGCTGTCCCGACAAGACACAAGCAAACTAGTAAGACGTTAAGATAGAAAATAGCACCGTAATTACTGTAATGCTGTTGTTACATTAATCAGCCACGATCTGGAATACACAGCCATTCCAGTTTTACCTACAGTAGCACAGTGCCCTTCGTCTCATGGGCTGCTAGTGCAATGGCAGCCTTGCAGAGAGATCTAGATAGACTGGAGCACTGGGCAATGACTCACGGGATGAAATTTAGCAAGTCCAAATGCTGGATTCTGCACCTAGGGCGGAGTAATGCCAGGCACAAGCATAAACTGGGAGAGGAGCAGCTGGAGAGCAGCCCTGCAGAAAGGGATCTGGGCGTGCTGGTTGACAGCAGGCTCAACATGCCAGCAGTGTGCCCTGGCAGCCAAGAGGGCAACCCGCATCCTGGGGCATCAAACACAGCATAGCCAGCTGGTCAAAAGAGGGGATTATCCCGCTGTATGCAGTGTTGGCGCGGCCTCACCTGGAGTACGGTGTGCAGTGCTGGGCCCCACGGTTTGAGAAGGATGGTTGGGTACTTGAATTCATCCAGAGGAGGGCAACAAAGCTGGTGAAAGGGCTGGAAGGAATGTCCTGTGAGGAGCGGCTAGGGACTCTGGGTTTGTCTGATTTGGACAAAAGGAGACCGAGGGGTGACCTCATTGCTCTCTACAGCTCCCTGAGGAGGGGAAGCGGGGAGGCAGGTGCTGATCTCTTCTCCCTGGTATCCAGTGATAGGATGTGTGGGAATGGTTCAGACTGGACGTGTGGAAGCATTTCTTTACCAAGAGGGTGGTCAAACATTGGAACAGGCTTCCTGGAGAGGTGGTCAATGCCCCAAGCCTGTCAGTGTTTGAGAGGCATTTGGACAATGCTCTTAACAACATGCTTTAACCTTTGGTCAGCCCTGAAGTGGTCAGGCAGTCGGACTAGGTGATCGTTGTAGGGCCCTTCCAACTGAAAATACTCTATTCTGTTCTATTCTAACGCAGAACTACTTGAGGCAGTCCTACAGTCAGAGCGGGGAGGGAAAGGGGAGATTTGGACTTTAGGATTTCTCCCCATATCTGAAGACTAACTTAAATTTGCTTAAACTATCACATATAATGAGAATATTCTCTGAGGTACTGTGATAGAGAAGGGATCATTGTGGACTACTGCAGGAGAGATTATTGCTGTGATTCATGTTGGAGCAAATACTTGGGAGAAGCGGACTTCAAGTCCCATAAATTATGGGAGACACATACAAAGTTCCACCTGAAATATGCAAGAGCTCCATGTTTATGATGAAGATTATGAAATGGTCTTTTCCAGGAAGGCAAGCACAAGCTAAAACTACCCGTGTTGAACCACCCAGATACATGCCAGGAAGGATCCAAAAGGTATACTGTTGTGGCATAACAGTGCTGTGCCTAGATCAATATACCTCACCTCTCAAGAGGATTTTATAGATTAAGCTCAGCACTGGACCAAATGTGGCTAGATGCCTCCCAAGGTGCTGGCTTCCAGCTGGGTGCTTATGGCATCAGCATGAGAAGACTTGAGTATATACGTATTTGCAAAAGACCATGTCAAAACGTCTGTACACACCAGGGTGAGAAATAGTTCAAACACAAGGAATTTAAGCTTGAGGATCTCTATAGGTATTTTTCCAACAGGTAGAACAACATGTCATGCCCTAGCTAAGCTGACAAACAGAGCTATGCCAGAGTGTTTAAACTACCCAACAGGGCTATCTCTACAGCAAGACTTGTGGAGTAAAAAAGGAAGAAATAAAATATGCAGATGAATGGTGACGGAATATTATGATATAGGCCCTGAAGGACAACGAACTAAATTATTAGTTAAAAGCCACAGGAACGTATAAGGAAAGAAATTAAAGAATAAGGAAGTAACCTGAGGTAGGCAAATACATGTGTGGGAGCTGTACAAAAATGCAGCTGAAAAGAGGCACATAGCCACATACGGCAGAAATTCTGATATTACAGACAAGTGAGAAAAGAAGAAACAACTCTGCTGAATACCAAAGTATGCAGTTTCAATTAATATTGAAAAATAGAGAAAATAAAGAGAAAAGGCATGGGAAAAGCCATCCAAAAATTAAATTAGATTTGGATAATCGCAGAGGGGTTTTGAATCTATAAAAAAAGGCATTTTGGCAGCATGTGGAATTTAAACAAATGTTGGAATTTACATATCACCAACCCAACAGCCGATTAGACAGATGAGGGAATCCTGGGCAGGCATCAGGAAATTTTCAGCAACCCTCCCAAAATACAACCAGCCGAAGCGGGGGTCATAGCTCTTTCAAGGACAGCTATCTCTCAGGTTCAATCAGTTTTCAAGCATACCTCTTCACTGCTCCAGAGAACTAGAGTTAGGCTGGGACTAGCTATAAGAGCTGACCTTTCCCACCTCCTGATATCCTACTCTGAACTAACAGAACATATTCTTTCCTCTGTCTAGCTGGTCAGCCAAGACAGAACTGCTTGGAGACGGTCTGGGATTTGTAATTCTACATGTGAATACTTCTTGGACAGTTACAAATAAATCACTCAATTCCAAGCTCCTCTGCCTCTCTCCATGGAGAATTCCTCATCAGGGAAGGGTATCAGATAAGTCACCTTTTTTCATTAAGCTTCACTCAGCTCCCTTAATGAATATTCTGAATCTTCCTGGCAGATTTTCTCCACAATATAATAATGGATTAATCTATTAATAGTAAACTTTATTAAAACCTCCTTTTGTAGCGGCAAGTTCCCTACTTCAAGCAAAACCCAGGTATTTTCCTGTTTCTTAGTGGGCATCTCTCATTGCTGTTTTCCTCATTATGATTAAAACATTCCCTCCTAAAGAGATGGTCAGACTGAAAGACTGTCAAGAATCAGCTTTGGTGGTTCCTACCTTCTAATTGCTTCAGTCTTTTTCCGTCTTGTTTAAATGAAGGTGTGAGAAAGTCGCTAACCTGATTTCTCTGGCTGAGAAGCTCCTCACAGACACCACACAAAAGTATTCAATGTCTTTATAAACAAAAGGTTTTGTTTCAGGGAATTAATTTTCCTCTTCCCTGCAGTAGGGCCTCTTTTCTTCTTTTTAATCTATCTCCCACTACTTGGTTCTTTTTTGCCTTTGTACTTGGAGTTAGGCTTGATAAATTATTGACTTCAACTTTTTATTTATGTTTTTTTCAAGTTTTTATGTCTGTTTTTCCCTCTTGCTAAACTTTTTCCTTCATTTAGTTTATTTGCTTTTGGATGGTATCAGTTTTTTGGTTTTCTGCTGTTTTCAGAAGCAAGCTATCTCATTGAAAATGCAGTTATTGGCTGGTGGTTC